TCTTACTTTGATATCAATCAGTCCGTGGTCCAACTCGTATAAACAAACCTACCTACTCCTTACAAATCAACTCTTGCAAATTATATATATATATATATATATATATATATATATATATTTGATATTTTACACAATTGAGGAAAATCCCTGTCACAGTTAATTTTTTACTATTCTGTTCCCCCTCTTTTACGTTTCGAGTGGGGACATACTGAAACGGTAGAAGACGAAGTTAAGACGGTTAAAAAAATGTTTCTTTGAATAATTTGTATCTTTGTATATCCAAATTGTGTATACTGCTTTATCTTCAACGCATCATTTAATACAGACAGGGATATTGACACAGGTCCTCCATCCCTAACTGAGGTTACTAAAGCTGTCACCAATCTGAAACAAGGCAAAGCAGCGGGACCTGATGGAATGACTCCAGAGGTATTTAAGTACGGTGGAGACAGCTTACTGTCTGCATTAACTGAGGTACTAGGCAGCGTCTGAGAATCAGAAGAAGTCGCATCGGGTTGGTGTAAGTCACTGATTATCCCCATATACAAGAAGGGAGACAAGTCCTCCTGTAATAATCACAGAGGGATTAGCTTGACTAATATAGTATCTAAAGTCTTAGGCTCAATAATCATGCGTAGACTGAGTGGTGCTGGGGAGGCACAAACACGAGAGAGCCAGGCAGGCTTTAGACCAGGAAGAGGGTGTACTGATCATATCTTCACCCTCCGACAGATTTCAGAGGATAGGCATTCCTACCGGCGTCCAACAGTCATTATATTTTTTGACCTAAAGTCGCAATTCGACTCTGTCGATCGAGAAGTTCTCTGGAGATGCTTGGCTGTAAAGGGAATTCCGAGAAAATATATTGCACTGATTAAGGTACTCTACTCTCGTACTCATACAGCCAGGTGAGGGCTTACGGCGAGTTGTCATCTGAACTGGTGATGACTAGCGGTGTCCGTCAAGGATCCCCATTATCTCCTTTTCTATTCAACTTCATCATAGATGTGTTAATGGACTTAACCCTAAGTGACTTCAGCGACTCAGGGATTGACTTGCTATCAGGGTGGGAATAATCTCGTTGACCTAGTCCTTCTAGGCGAGGACTCTGACAAAATACAGCAGAGTCTTCTAAACACCTTGAGCGAGAATCTACGAATGTTTGGCATCCGAGCGATTCGCTCCCGTCAAATGCAAGATTATGTTACAGGACTGACTGGACTACATCGACGCCTAGTTTAAAAATAGGAAGTGAAGTGGTAGAGCACGTTGACCGCTTCACTTATTTGGGAAGTACCATCAGCCCCAACGGGTTGATCTCTGACGAAATCTCAGCTGAGTACGGATACAGGGGGCTCGTTTCGTATATGACAGTTTACGCCGACTCTGGTGTAGACGAGATGTTCTGTTGCTTTGTGTGGTGGTACATGGAGGGAGTGTGGCGACTTGAACTGTCGCACATTTGTGCAAAGTTCTATGTCGAAAACAGACAGACAGATCTTCGTGTTGTGCCCTGCTACTTCTCGCCTTCCTTCATACTGCGTGTTTCTTTGTGTGTGTTTCTTTTACTCACGTCTCCCTCGTGTTTCTCCGCAACCAACTCTGTATAATTTTCCTTCTCTGAAATCAAATGTATCTCTTCCGGCTATTTGATGTTGTTTTTTCTGCTGGCTGATGATGAACTTCTCTTCTTATGCTACTACTACTACTGATAAATCTTATCAGTAGTAGCATTCGTTGCCACAATACGGTTTCAACAAACTTGAGCTCTGAACTTCCAGTAATCGCCATTGGTCCTATCCAGCGAGGCTTAACGTGCTCAGCCTTTCCCTTTTCTCACCGGGCTTACTATCTATCGGCTGCTGCTAGATGGAATGTAGGAGTGTGTGTGTGTTGGCTGGATATCGAATCCTCCAGAGACCACTTGTGCATGACATGGCATGGTTGATAAGCATTCTACCGTTGCTTCCTTATGAATATTCAACTGGAGTTCATTGTTGTTTTACAATATTCTTCACTGTAGGCTTAAAATATGCCAGTCAAGTGTGTTTCTTTCGATCCAGTTGAGATTAACACCCCATCTTCAATAGGCAATCATACTTCAGCAGGGTTTGTGTAGTTGTTTACATCGGGTTTGAACCCCTGGTGGATGTGTACACTGCTGCTGAAGAGTCCTAAACTAGGATGAAACCGCTTTCCAGTAATCCCCTCCAGGTTTTCCAGTGTTGTTCTCTAACTAACCGATATCATTGCTTATGATGGATTCCTCCAATCACTTGTAATGCGAATAAAGCTAGAACAACATTTTTCGCAATTTTGGCTTCTCATCAGCTCAGGTCATCTGGTTACAGGTCAAAGACATTAATTAAGTAGAACTACAGAAACGACTTTAACATACTTGCACACAGAGTTCATTATTAAACAAAAAACAATCAATCAACATATGCATACCGTGTAATAATATAAATGTGATAATATTGAACTCTATTCCGAACGAGATATTCGACAATCGACCAAATGGCGGGTATACTGCTCATCAGTCCTCTCCGCCCTCCTTTATGGCCAGCTGTGAGACCTGGCCACTGAGAGTGGAAAACATGAAAAGACTAGCTATCTCTCTTTGATCATAGGTGCCTGCCTGCGTTCTATCTCCCTACCGTGTGAAGTGGCATAATAAGGTGAGTGAGCAATACTGAGGTTAGACCTCCGTCGAGTTCTAGGTAAACAGGGGAAATCAATCGACGAAGTTGTGAAGTTACAAAGACTGAGATGGTTAGGACATGTGTTACGCATCCCTGACTAGTCATCGCCTTCCTCGACTAATGGTTAATGTTAGCGGATATAGGGTCAGGCTGGAAAAGAGCTAGCGGAGGTCGAACAAAAACATGGCTTCACCAGTCAATGAAATCCACAACAGTTAGTCTAAGCCAGTCACGTAGGAAGGTGTAGACTTCCTGACTGGTTGGGGTCCTCGGGACGGTAAAAACCAATGAAGGCTGGAAACAATTGGTGACATGGCTCAAACTCATCGTTCTCAATGGCTGGCTGACGCAGATGCATCCACTCCTTGTGACTTATGATTTCCGATGAAACTGTTTTGTTCTTCGTTAATACCCTTTCTTTGTCTCACACCTCTGCTTACTGTCTCTATTATGCTTTTCTTGTACTTTCTTCTGTTGCTTTGTGTGGTGGTAGATGGAGGGAGTGTGGCGACTTGAACTGGCGCACATATGTGCAAACTGGTTATATGTCGAAAACAGACAGACAGACTATTCCGAACAGTAATCATCATACACAATGAAAACTGTCGGCTTTACGTCATCAGATGAAAGAGAGGTGAAAATATCCAGTTACTAGGGCAAAGAAAGACTGATACTGACTGCTTGTTTCTGAACACATAAATAAATCAGGTTTCTAGCGCTGAATTGGAGATTGGTTCGGTAAACTTGAGGAGGAATTAAACTCGTTTATCTATTTTCTAATTTTGAACGATCTTGTGACGTCCACCTCATGGCCCTCGTCTCGTATTAAAGGAGATGCTTGACGATTGACACTGTTCACAAGGAGAGCATTTGTTCCCAGCTGTGGAGATATATATTGGCTTTTTGGTATATGTGTTCAGAAAATCGTAGGTATGCAGTTCTTCTTTTTGTCTCTATTCTTCCAATGTAACTCTGCTCGCTTAGATACGTGTAAATTTGTGTATATATTCTGTTGGTGTTGTTAACATGAAAAGAAGGATATCTATCGATATTTGATTGCACCGAAGGAGAGTAAGTTTTTAATAATAATAATAATAATAATTTTGCTTTATTCCAAAAACAGTACTAATGATACAGCAAGGAATTTTCAGCATTTCAGTACAATATTACTTCATCTAATTTACTCAAAAACGACACAACAAAAAATTACAAATACACATTACATAATAATAATAAAACGATTGTTACAGCAGCTACATAGCGAAGTACTGTATACAATACGGTGAAAAATATGCATAAAGTATAAAATTGTAGTAATAGTAGTAATACCAACTAAAATAAAATAGCAGAGTAATAATTAAATGACAGAAAGTGTGACACCATAAAATACAGAAAGATGAACGAACGATGAAAGGGTCGATTCACTGTGCTAATTACATAGTAACTTATGTGTTTCACGTCTAACAGAGTCTTCGTCACATAAAGTACGGGCTAAATAGGGAGGGTATTGTAGAATTTCTGTACTTAGTGGTACGAGCATATAACTTCTAACTTATATTGACTTCTCGTCCTACCTGATGAGATACAAGGGGATAGGTGTGAATAAAGGCGGGGGGTGCAGAGGGTCTGACAGTATAGCCTTTGCCCATTTCGCACAGGAATTTACATGCCTCTCGACTATAATATTAGCGAGCTCCTGCAGTGGCAGACCACAAGCTCTACTCACAGCATTTAATACTCTTCGTAATATGATATAATCTTTTTTGAGATGCCCAAGAAAGATTAATGGAGAGCAATAGAGTAGGTACAATAGGTAAAATACAGGAATTTAAAAATCGTAAAACTAAAGGTTGGTTGATACCTGATTGTCTTAACTTTTTAATGTAGAAGGTAAGACGAAACATTTTCTTAGAGATAGATAAGATATGGGATGACCATGAAAGGTCAGAGAGGAAAGAACTAATCCAAAGTATTTAATGCTTGACTTGGTTTCAATTTCCGTGCCATCTATGCTACAGGCATCATGCGAACTAACTAGTTCGCATGTAAGTCACATCGATGCTTGAAAGTAAAGTCAACTGCCTGACATTTGGAAGGATTTAATATAAGACCATTTGAATTAGACCACTTGTTGATGTCCAACAGAAAGCTATTAAGTTTGGAGCTGTCAGACTCGGAAGTGATAGACAGTGAGTGATACAATCAGATCATCTGCATATTTGACAAAGTTGTTAGTTTCGTTTGAATGAGGCAGGTCATGTAGGAAAAAAGAAAAAAGAAAAGGAGAGAGGACGTCACCTTGAGGAACACCGGATTTTGTAAGCGAGGTAGATGAAGATTTGCCGTTATATACAGTATACTGCATTCTATCAGAAAAATAGGAATGCAACCAACTCTTTGCCCAGGATCCTGTTTTTGTCAACGATAGCGTATTTAATAAAAGGCTTCTAGGTACAGAGTGAAAAGCAGATGTGTAGTCTAAGAAAAATTGTTCGGTAAACGGGGGAATCAACTTAGCTTGCTGCAGGGTAGGATAGATAGGCTCTGCCCTTGTCACGTCCTTATTCTGCTAAAATTGTTGTTCTTGCTTTATTCAATTTCATTAAAGGGGAATAAATGTATGCGAAACCATTTTTCATGAGTTAAAACTACCCCCCTTTTTATTAGTAAAAAAATAATAATAATGATGATTATTTAATAATTAATAATAATTAATTCTGTCTGTCTGGATTCAACATAGAACTTGGCACCTAAGTGCAGCAGTTCGAGTTGCCACGTTCCAAATAGCACACAGAGGTAGACAAGAAGATGAGTGGAGAGAATCAATAAAATTTGACTAGTATACGAGTGAAACAAAATGGGTAATGGTAGAAATATGAATATGAAAGATTACAGAGACTGAATACATGTGCGCTGGCCATTGACAAAGATCACTTTGAGCCATGTCACCTATTGTCTCCAGCCATTGATTCCTAGAGTCAGTCCCGAGGGCCCCAACCCGGAAGTCTGCATCTCCCCACCTACCTACCTGACTAAGTTTAACTGTCAAGGATTTCATGGATTGATGAGGCCATGTTTTTGTTTGGCCACCACTAGCTCTTTTCCAACCTGAACCTATATCAGCTAGCAATGCCCGTCGGGGGAGGCGACGGTTAGGCATGCGCACCACGTGACCTAGCCATCTCAGTCTATGTAACTTTATAGCCTCGTCGATTGATTTTCCCTCTCTGCCCAACACTCTACGCGTAACGTCAACATTACTTACCTTATTAAACCACCTAACGTGAGAAAGAGATCGCAGACATCTATGATCGAAAGCAGTCAACCTTTTCATGTCTTCAACTCGTATTGGCCATGTTTCAGAGCCATAGAGAAGGACGGAGAAACTGGTGAGCAGTACACACGTCCCTTGGTTGATAACCGGATGTCACGCCTACGCCAGAGATGGTGTAAGTCAGCTGGAGCAGCAGCTCGAGCTTTTTGGATCCTTGTTGAGATTTCATCGCCCATCAGTCCGTTGGTGTTGATGCAACTTCCCAAATATATGAAGTGGTCAACATGTTCTATCACTTCACTCCCTATCACTAAGCTAGGAGTTGACGTAGTCCAGTCCTGTAACATCATTTTGCATTTCATAGGGGCGAATCGCATGCCAAACATACGGAGATTGCTGCTCAAGTTGTTTACAAGACTCTGAGTTGAAACTACCCGTTTATTAGTAAAAAAATAATAATGATTATATAATAATTTCAGTACTAAAGCTTTACTAATTTCTTTTTCTTTCTACAATCACATTGTAGGCAATTGTGAAGGATTAATGATTAAAACATTAGATCGTAACTCTACCTATGAGATTGCAAAACGATCTCATAGTTGGTTAAAACTCAAAAAAGACTATCTCGAGGGTGTAGGTGATACTTTGGATCTTGTAGTGATTGGTGGTTTCCATGGAACTGGTAAACGTGCTGGTCGTTATGGTGGTTATTTACTTGCCTGTTATGATGCTGATTCTGAAGAATATCAAACTATATGCAAAGTAAGTGAGCGCGTTCTAGAGAAATTTCATCCTCGTGACTGTATATCATCGTACTTTTACTTTTTCTATTTAAAGTTTGTTGATTAGATATCACACACATACACACACACAATCATTTCATCAATTATCATCATCACATACACACGACTTAGAAACTTGAGTGGTTTATAGTGTGTTCCCTGTCCTCTCCTATTTGTCGTCGTCCAGATGTCTGCGTGTTGGACAGGTGTTGAATAATTCCTGTCCCCCGTCCCCCCGGTCTCAGTTCATTCGATAAACAAAACTTCCGTTATCTATCAACCCCTTCTCCCATCCACCCTGTTAGTTGTATTCGATTTTAAAACTGTCATTCTATATCCCATCCAGCCTATATTGTATGTATGGCTGTGTGTAATCGCATGTGTAGTCTGTTGTTGTTGTTATAGCTGAACTATTCTCCAGATTTCTTGTCTTATCTCCGGGTCAACTAAAATCTAGATTTCGATGATAGGTTTTTTTTATGGCCCTGTGTACACTACCACTTTGACCTGACAATCATTCCAGTAGTGTAGGGTATTGGATAAACTAAATTGTCTTTATTTTTAATAGGCTCCATGGACGGGATCCTTTAACTGAAAAAGTCTGTTTATAATTCGGTGGGGTGTGTGTGGGGGGTGGTTTGAGTGAGTGATTGCCAGTCACTTTTATTCCTGCCTGCACTGTTAAGAATTCTCTGTCGTCGTACGGTGGTGTTTCCGAGGTCCCTTTCCTTGTATGGAAGTGCTACTTGATGGCGACTTAAATTCTCTATTGTGTTGGTGTTGTGTCATCATCTCCTGTGTAGTGTTTCACAAGTATGTCGTCATTAATATTATCACTATCACTACTGTTATTATTTATTTTTATTTTTACATCTCCCCTAGATACCTCCTGATTAATAATTAATTTATCAGGGTAGTTATTAATTAAGCTTCAAAGCTTTTCTTATATATGCCTCACTACTACTTCCTGTCTTAGATTTTCCTTGATACTGCTTAGTTTTTCTGCCGTATTGTCAGTCAATTAAACATTTCACCAATCCTATATTCACTCACACTAACATAGGATAGATGACGGTGATGATGATGGGAAATTCAAATATCGGTTTGAGTGTGTTTTAGTTTCCTATAGCATATTAGTGTGTTTAACCACCTCCCCCGTCTTCTTTGTGTTTTCACGCTATAATCTAACATTGGAAGTTCACCTCCTTCGTGACTTTTCAATTCATCAACATAAGTGGATTGATTGAATTGCCTCCACCTTAGAGTTGATGTGTTATTGAGTACAATTAGTGTGTGTCATCTTCATACACATGCATCATACTTTTGAGATGAGGCTGAACATTTCATTCGCTAAGTGTTTATTGAATCAACTGACACAGGGGAATACGTGTAGAGTGTAATAGGAATTATTATTCAACACATGTGTCCACTTCAAGAACACATGTTGTTCAACAACACCATCACCATCTTCACTTTATTCTATACTTCATGGTATGCTCTTCAGCTAACCAGAGATCCACACCGATTACCCATAATTTCTCATCTACTCTCCTGCTTGTCACACAATTTCCTCCAATAACACCACCCTAGCCACTGATGACCCACCCACCCACTCATCCATCGCCTTCCATTGAGACAAAAACTCGAGTGATGATGGCTGGCTTGCATTTCGTATGATGTCATTATTGGACGGCCTACCTACCACCTCAATGTATGCGAGATCAATCTGAAAAATTAATACTATTCTAACCCTATGAAGACAAATAATAGAGAACAAAATAAAACTATGAAACTCAAGTTTCGAAGTTGTGTGTGTGTGTGATTGATGAACAATAAGTATGTGATGAACAATAAATAAATTAATCCATTGTGTTCAACATGTGTCGTCATCCATCCACTGAATAATATACCACTGTTTCAGTGAGACTGTGTGTGTGTGTGTGTGTGTGATATCTAGTAAACGAATTATAATCTGGAATTACTCACTATCACCACCACCACCACAGTCCCCATGTTTTACACATAATTTTTCAAAAATATTTTTCGGAACAAAATATTTATTTAGAGCGAACGCTTGTCGCTTTCAACGAATTCTTCCCTCTTCAGGCGCTCTACAATTATAAATCCATTCATGTAAGCATACAATAGCCAGCCAGTAAATGGCGAATTAGAATCATCAATGTGCATCTACGAATTCAACTGCTCATGTGGAGCTAGTTACATTGGCCGTACTCAGAGGGCTTTATCCATGCGCGCGCGTGAACATGTACCTCAATGGTTGAGTAAAGGAGTAATCAAAGGCATAAATAGTGCAGTCTCAGCCCACTTGGTAGATGCATACTGGACACCCGATAAAACTTGTCCAAGCGTTCTCAGTTATTTACCACGTTCCTAGTAATTTATCTAGAGGAGCTCGACTACGTCTTCTATCAGTAGCTGGCTGGAAGCAGTTGCAATCATAATACCAGAAGATCATCCCTCTGCATACAGAAGAAGTATCTTCAACCTCTATGTTTACCTTGGCCTACAATAAAGCCAACAAATCCTCCATTAACACTATAAATTCCTTTCACAATTTTCTTTTCTTTTCTGCTCCTTCTTCTATTCCTCTGTTTCATTGACAAACCTTCATTTTCGACTTTTATGATTTCATGACCTTTCTTATGATTTCTGTTATTACCTTAGATTTAAATAGTGCTTTTCTAACTTGCTATCGTATTTACAAAACTCCTGTTCATTCCACTTCATTATATTCATTATTATTATTATTATTATTTGACAATCATTCACCAATGGTACTTTTAATTTTAATTTTACACCATATCATCGTTATTACTGTTTTACAATCATTCTTATTGTTTTTATTTTCAACCTTGAACTTAAGTCTAGACCGCCTCATTCGTCGTTGGTTTATTTTCATATTGTCTCACACACACACACACACCCTGATTACACTCACTCTTGAAACCTGTATTTTCTGCAATTGATAGTGTTCTCTGAGCTCCTTGGTTTAATTGCGGAGCTTTCGTCGTCTTTCTGGACGGCATCTTCAGCGCAGTATTTAGCATAAAGTTAAATGATTTAAAAAAATCTCCATGAATGATGGATGATACAATTGCGTCTCCTGGTGGTGACCAACCATCTTCACATATGTGTGTATTGACCGTTTTCTATTGTGATTTTAAACTTTCTGGTCACCTGACTTTTGCTTTTTATTAGTTGATATATTTCATCTGTATTAACGTGTTTATTAAATGGCATTTTCGTTTGAGTACCAGGCTTCTAGGAATTCCCTGACTACACTGATGGTGTTGTGTTTCCTCTGTTTAAGATTTTGATATTATCCCAATCAAATTGATGTCCATA